CGGTTGGTCCTCTGGGTCAGCCACAGCGTGTGTTATCTGGTCATCAGACTCAGAAACTTCCTCCCTCTCTGGAAGGTGCTGGATGATGTTAAATAGTGTTTGATGGGAGTAAGCCAGGACCCAGCACAATGCTGCAAGCTGTCGTTCTCCGGCATTATCAGGGTCAGGACATAAAACTCTCAGACATTCTACCAGGTTTTTAGGATTTTGCACTTGCTCAGGGGTGAAGTTCAAAACTATTGGAGGAGAAACTCATGACAGGTATCTGCTAACATCATCCCACACACCTTGCCACTCACCACAAGACTGTTTCGGGACAGATTCCCAGGTCAGCTTTCTAAATAATCGACTAATCTTAGATAGAAGAGGAAACCCGTTATTCAGAATTAGAAATAGCAATACATGGGTTACACGTGGCTGTTCAAAATACTCCCAAACTGTGGTAATTAGCCCACTGTGAAAGAAGGAAAAGGTACTGTTAGAAATGGCTCAATCTTCAAAATAGGATTAAATAAAAAATAGGATTTATTAAAAGAATAGAGGTAAGCAAACAGCGCTGGGTGCACCGGGAGCCTCCGCTCCACCAGGACGCACACCAGTTACATCAAGTGGCTGACTTTTATGCTCCTAGACTAATACATATTCATTACTACTTCGAAAAAAATAATTATTATAATTAGCTTCCAGTGTCCAGTCCCTCCTACTGGAGCATGTGCATCAGTCTCCGGTGGTCCCTCTGGGGGTCTCTAGGGGTCTTTCATGCTGAAGGCTCGCAGTCTTCCTCTCCAAGTTTTTTTCTCGTCCTTCCCCGTTGTACTCCCTTGGAACCGTATCAAGTTTATAGAACATCCCCTGCAGGTCTTGTCTCCCAGCCATCCTTCAGCTTCTTTTTTCTTCTTCTTAATCTCTTGGCCACCTGGCCAGATATCAGAGGCTTGCATAGTATCCCATAACAGTCACTAGTTGTTATCAGTTGTTCTGAAACCCCCAGATATCAAAGACTTCATACAAACACAAATAATTTTCTTATTGACACTTCACGAGTAATTAAAACATTCCTCACCAGCCATTCATAGGGACAGTCACACCTATAGCAGTGTTAAGTTAATCTCGAAGAAGACAAAAAAAAGGCTGTAACTGTTAGAAATAGGAGTTCGGAATAACAAAAGCAAACAGGTTCATAAATTTGAGGAGTATTTTCTGAAGACTTGATAAATTGACTAGAATGAGGGGGAGACTGGGACACACTGCATCTGTGGTTCAAGAATTAAATTGCCAGTGCAGGGCCCAGAGGCAGACAGGATTCAAACAAAATTGTTCTTTATGGACATGAATTGTTAAAACATTCCTCACAGTACCATTCCTGATATTATTAATAAACTGGTATCCAGATGAGGAAAGGAAGGCAGTGTAGTTCTGAATATTCTCTAAAAGATAGTTTCCATGAGACCCACATGATAACAGTGCAGAGCCTGAATTCCAGATTAAAACCAAGGCCAGTGCTTGGCAGCACAGCGAATTAAAAAAAAGTGAACACAGATTGTAGCACTTTGTCAGATTGGATATATAGGAGAAAGGAGACCATGACACGGACTGCATGACATATGATCAAACAAGCCATTATTAACAGGACACTGAACATGGTGACTAGCAAGTAAGTGTGTTAGTTGTACACGCTTTGATCAATTCTATTCTTATCTCAACCCTTTGAGCCCCACCTTGGGTGCCAAAAAGGACTGTGGTGGTTTTACCGTGCTGGGTAGCTAAACACCACAACCGCTCTCTCACTTCCCCTCCTTAGATCAGGAGGGGGAGAAGTAAAGCAAAGAACAACTCACGGGTTGAGATAAGGATAATTTAATTAAAGGGAAATAATAATAATAATTAAAGAAAGATTATTATGAACTAAACAATTTAACTAAAGGAAAAAAAAAGGAAAGGGGAAAAGGGAAGGGAAAAGGAAAAAAAAAAAGGAGGAAAACAAAGAAATAAAACAAATGAAGGCTATGTGGAAGTACAGAGGACAGAAATTACTCTCTACTTCCCACAAATGAGCGGTGCTTGACCATGTCCTTGAAGCAGGGCCTCAACGCACGGAGCTGGTGTTCGGGAGGAGGACCGACGTTTTCCCAACGAGAGCCCACCCCTCCCCTCTTCTTCCTGTTCCCACCTTTTATTGCTGAGTGTGACACCACATGGTATGGAACATCCCTTTTTTTGGTTTAGATCAGCTGCCCTGGGGATGTTTCTCTTCTCATTTTTTGCCCACCCCCTAGGAGGGTTAGAGAGAGGCCCGATGCTGTGCCAGCACTGCTCAGCAGCAGACACAACCCTGCTGTGATCCCACTGCTGTTCCAGCTCCAAGTGCAGAGCACAGCACTGCTTGGGCTGCTGCAGGGGAAGTTAACATCCCAGCCTGACCACATCCTTGCCACACTCCCTGCCACTCATAACCATCCTGCCTCGGGACAGGGGTCTGGGTGGCATTCCTAAGTAGTTGTTTAACCTTAAACAAAACCTGAAGTGCATTCAGGAGACATTACAATAAGAACATGCTGGTCGGAACATCCCAAGGACATTCAGATTTTGAGGAGCTACTGTAAGTAGCCTGGGGGAGAAAGGGCAGGTGAAGGAGAAAGGGGGAGTGAACAGGTGGGGAAAACATCTTCCCTTGTCCCCTTCACAGACTGTATCCCTGAAAAGAAAAGGTAAATGACGTAATTAGTACTAGTTTCTGAGATATGGTTTCCAAAGTATGGAAGTGATGGCAATGCTGAGTACAAATACCAGATTACAGAATCCCAGAACCATCTAGGTTGGAAGATCACCCAGCCCAACCTCTGACCTAACACTAACCAGTCCTCCACTATCCCATATCACTGAGCTCTACACCTAAATGTCTTTTAAAGACCTCCAGGGATGGGGACTGAACGCTGGGCAGCCCATCCCAATGCCTCACAACCCTCTCAGTAAAGAAGTTCTTCCTAATATCCAACCCAAACCTCACCTGGCACAACTTTAGCCCATTCCCCCTCGTCCTGTCACCAGGCACATGGGAGAACAGACCAACCCCCACCTCGCTACAGCCTCCTTTAAGGTACCTGTAGTCTCATCCTTTAAGGTACCTATCAGTCTCATGACCAGTAATTCTATCATACCATAAGCCAGTGCTACACAGTAAGCAGCAAACTAACCTTAAACCAGCCCCCCAGAACAATAAACAGCACAACAGGGAACACATACAGTAAGTAATGTGTTATATAACGGAATTCAGAAAACAGGCACAGCAGACCTCAGATCAAAACAATACAAAAACAAACAAACAAACAAACAAAACAGCACTATTAAGCTGATATAATGGTTTCAATAATTTTCTTTTAACATGCTCTCATCACATCTGTCACTATCTCAGCTCTTCGGGCCCCACGTTGGGTGTCAAAAGAACTGTTGTGGTTTAACCAGCACCACACAGACGCTCTTCCTCCCCACAGTGGGATGGGGGAGAGAATCGAGAAAAACAAAAAAAAAAAGAAAAAAAAAAAAGTAAAAGCTTGTGAGTTGAGATAAAGACAGTTTAATAGGATAGAAAAGAAAAAATAAGAAGAATAATCAAAATGGTGGTAAGAATAATAACACGTATAAAACACATGATGCACAATGCAATTGCTCACCACCTGCTGACGGATGCCCAGCTTATCCCTGAGCAGCCTGAGCCCCCACCCCAGCTAGCCACCCCTATATATTGTCCAGCATGACCCCATATGGTGTGGAATACCCCTTTGGCCAGTTGGGGTCAGCTGTCCTGGGCCTGTCCCCTCCCAGCTCCTGCTGCACCCCCAGCCTGCCCGCTGGCAGGACAGAGCAGGAAGCTGAGACGTCCTTGGCTTACTGTGAGCACTGCTCTTCAGCAATTAAAACATCAGTGTGATATCAAGAGTAGTCTCATCCTAAATCCCAAACACAGCACCATATCAGCTATGGTCTGCAGCCAAGGGAAGCACCTTCCCCTGTGTGAGCTGGGGGCTCATGCACTCACCCCTCATCCACAGACCCCCTGGGGTCACCAGCACAGACCCTCTGTATGCCTGATGCCCTAGCCCAGCCCAAAACCCCTGCTGCTGGCTGGTTGGTGCCTAAACCTAAAGTTTGCTGGTGAATGCAGCCGCACACCCCACGCACACCAGGCTGGGGAAGGCACAGCCAGCTGCCCCCAGCAGCCTTCAAGCAGCCCTCGGAGGTGCTGATGGCAGCACGGGGAGCATACGCAGCAGGAGAGGGCTTACACAAAGCAACCTGGAGAGCAAATAAATCAGCATTGCAACCGGGGGCTGCTAAACAAACGCACCATGAGCACAAATTCTAAACCAGTTTGTCCCATCGAGCATTGTCTGCTCAGGTCTGCTGATCTCTCACAGTATCTCAGGTACCTTCCGGCCTCGCACTAGGTGCTAAAAGCAGCGCTGTGGTGGAATGCAGCAGAGAGCTCAGCACCGCACAGCCACCTCCTCAGCAACCTCCCCACCGGGGGAAGGGGAGAGCTGACAAGAGGAAAAGTGCACAGACTGGCAGGCTGAGAGAAAGAGAGTTTAATGAGAAAGAAAGACAGAAAATAAGAAAGCAAGAAAACTGAAGAAAGGGATGCACAGAACAGTTGCTCACCACCCTCTGACCCATGCCCAGCCTGTCCCTGAGCAACGGCAGCCCCTCAGCCAACCCCGCCACAGTGTGAGCAGCACAGAAGTCCTTGGCTGTGTCAGCACTGCTCAGCAGCATCTAAGCCAGCAGTGTGTTATCAGCACCATTCTCATCCTAAAACCAAAGCCCCACACCAGCTACGGTGATGAAAAGCAACTCGATCCCAGACAAAACCAGGACAAGCCAGTGTCTGCTCCTGCAGGAGCCCCTCTGCACTGAGGGCTGCAGAGCCTGCGCCTCACCTCTCAGCACCCAAGGGACTGGGACCCACACAAGCGTTCACTAGAGCGTGGGAAACTGCTAAAAGGTGATTTCCTGTTGGTTTCCCGGCAGCCTTTTGCAACAGCCCAGCAGGAACTGGGTGGTCATGGGGGGCTGGAACACAAACTGTCTGGGGCTCCACGCACCCTGCAGCAGCGCCGAGCCGTGGGTCCTGCATGCAACAGAGCAGAGGTAACATCTCACTGCAGCACCAGGGCTCCTCCTGGCACAAATGCTACGGCCTCAGAGGATGTCGGGGCTGCACGGGGGAACCCAGGTGTCTGCGGTGTTTGATGCAAGTAGTTGGGCTGGAGTCCGGGCCGGTATCGGGGTGGGGAAGACCCAGGTGGCCGTGGCTGGGGACACACACTGCGGGTGCTTCCCTCTGGTGCCAGGGGGGCCATGGGCGGCTTTGGAGGTGCCCCTGATGCATCTGCTCCGCTTCTCCCTGCAGCCTTCTCCGACCCTGCGCTCTCCCCCTAGCAGACGCCCGTGCCCTGTACTGCTGCACTCAGCGGCTGAGCTCAGCCGGTTGCAGAGGACCGGGTCCATCCCCGCTCGTGGCTGGACCCCCGGAGCTTCCTGCACATGGAGCACCTCGGCCTGGGCTGGGTGCTGCTGGCCAGCACCCTGTTTGGCACCGCAGCCACTTGCAGCAGGCGAGATGTCCATGGTATCACAGAGAAGGTGATGGACATGGCCTGGGACTCCTTTGATGACCAGTACCAGGACTGCAGCCACATGATGGAGGAGAAGCTGAAAACGGTGAACCGCACTGAGTTCAAAAACAAGGTGTATGCAGACACCTGGAGAGAAGCAGCCGAGTACTGGCAGAAGCAGTGGGGCAACTCCAACCGCCCGCAGGTGCTGCCGCAGGAGCAGGCGGTGGCCGTGCTGGCGTACACTGACAGTGGAGACCTGTCCAACCAGCTCAACAAAGCTACGCTTGAGGGTGGGCGCTCCCATAAACACTACTTCCAGTCCTTCCCCTTCAAGATGCTGCATTTCCTCCTGACCGAGGCTGTGCACACCCTGCAGAAGACCCAGAGCCCCAAATGCAACAGTGTCTACCGCGGCATCAAGGGCATCCGCTTTACGGCACAGCTCAAGGAGACCGTCCGCTTCGGCCACTTCGCCTCCACCTCCCTCGAGAGGAAGGTTGCTGAGTCCTTTGGCACTGACACCTTCTTCTTTGTGAAAACCTGCTACGGTGTTTCCATCAGGAGCTTCTCTTTCCGCCCATATCAGGAGGAAGTCCTCATCCCACCCTATGAGGTCTTCAAGGTCACCAATGTCATCCATCACACAGATGGAACCCACATCCATCTCGACTCCCATTCCACGCACAGCAACTACAACTGTGCGCTGCTGAATGGTAAGGGCAGGCAGCAGGGTGGGTGCCCCTGGGAGATGTCTGGGGACAGGGCACAGCCCTGGGCAGGCGCCGCCGTGCTCCCCGCGCTCCTGCAGCCATGGCTGCAGAGGAACGGAGGCCCCGTGCCACCGGCTCTGTGAGGGGAAGGGGAGCCTCGTGGTGAAGGCAACACCTCCGTGTGGGGAGCTCGGGGAGCCTGGGGAGCTTGGGGAACCTGGGGAACTCGGGGAGGTGGGGAGCTCGCCTCCAGACCAGGTCTTCCCTGTGCATCCCTGCACGCTCCCAGCTGCTCTCCCTTGGGGTTTGCAGTGGGGGCCCTGTGTGGCACGGCCAGGGCGGGGTGAGGGGCACAGAGCGGGGCGAGGGGCACAGAGCGGGGCGGTGCACAGATGTTGTTGGTCTCTTTGGCAGAGAAAAGGTGCAAGGCCCAGCCGTGTGTTTTCAGCGCAGTTAAGAGGCGAGCCCCCAGCCCCTTCCCACGGCCAGCACCGTGCTGGCACCCTCCAGCAGTCATTAACTCCCTGTTCCCCCCCCCAGGCACGAGCAGTCCCAGGGAACCCCCACACCTCTGGAGTCTCCTCTTGGCAGCCGCAGCCCTGGCAGCCGTGGGATGCCTCTAACCCAGCTATGCTGCTGCTGCACCTCCGCAAGGAAAACGGAGCAGAAACGTGAGAACACATTTAATGGACACTGTGGGATTACGCTTTTGTGAGGAATGTTTTAACAATTCATGTCCATAAAGAACAATTCTGTTTGAATCCTGTCTGCCTCTGGGCCCTGCACTGGCAATTTAATTCTTGAACCACAGATGCAGTGTGTCCCAGTCTCCCCCTCATTCTAGTCAATTTATCAAGTCTTCAGAAAATACTCCTCAAATTTATGAACCTGATTGCTTTTGTTATTCCGGACTTCTGTTTCTAACAGTTACAGCCTTTTTTCCTGTCTTCTTCGAGATTAACTTAACACTGCTATAGACGTGTCTGTGAATGGCTGGGGAAGAATGTTTTAATTACTCGTGAAGCATCAAATAAGAAAGCTGTTTGTGTTTGATGTCTGGGGGTTTCAGAACAACTGATAACAACTAGTGACTGTTATGGGATACTATGCGGATCTTTGGTATCTGGCCAGGGGGCCAAGAGATTAAGAGGAAGGAAAAAGAAGCTGAAGGACGGCTGGGAGACAAGACCTGGAGAAAACGTTCTATAAACTTGGCATGGTGCCGAGTGAGTACAAAGGGGAGAGGAAGACTACGAGCCTTCAGCATGAAAGACCCCTAGAGACCCCCAGAGGAGACTGATGCGCATGCTCCAGTAGGAGGGACTGGACCCAGGGAGCTAATTATAATAACCTGCATTTTTTAGAAGTAGTAATGAATATGTATTAGTCTAGGGGCATAAAAATCAGCCACTTGATGTAACGGGTGTGTGTCCTGGTGGAGCGGAGACTCCCGGTGCACCCAGCGCTGTTTGCTTACCTCTATTCCTCTATATTCTTCTAATAAATTCTATTTTTTTTTATTTAATCAAAATTTGAATCCTGAGCCATTTATAACAGCCAACAAGATCCTGGCGGGCATTAAAAGGAGCGTGGCCAGCAGGTCGAGGCAGGTGATCCTCCCGCTCTGCTCTGCCCTGGTCAGGCCTCACCTGGAGCACTGGGTCCAGTTCTGGGCTCCCCGGTACGAAAACAACAGGGATCTCCTGGAAAGAGTCCAGCGGAGGGCCACAAGGATGATACGGGGCCTGGAGCATCTTCTCTATGAGGAGAGGCTGAGAGACCTGGGGCTGTTCAGCCCGGAGAAGAGAGGACTGAGAGGGGATCTCATCAATGTGTATAAATACCTCCTCAGGTGGGAGACAGAGGGATTTGGCCAACCTCTTTCCAGTGGTCTGTGGGGACAGGACAAGGGGCAGTGGCCACAAAATGGAACCCAGGCAGTTTCGCACCAACACGCAAAAGATCCTCTTCTTTGAGAGAACTGGCAGAGGAGCTGGCCAAGCCACTTTCCATCATTTATCAGCAGTCCTGGCTATCGGGGGAGGTCCCAGTTGACTGGCGGCTAGCAAACGTGACGCCCATCTACAAGAAGGGCTGGAGGGCAGACCCGGGGAACTACAGGCCTGTCAGTTTGACCTCAATACCAGGGAAGCTCATGGAGCAGATCCTCTTGGGAGTCATCATGCGGCACTTGAAGGGCAAGCAGGCGATCAGGCCCAGTCAGCATGGTGTTATGGAAGGCAGGTCCTGCTTGACGAACCTGATCACCTTCTATGACAAAGTGTCGCGCTGGGTGGACGAGGGAAAGGCTGTGGATGCGGTTTACCTTGACTTCAACGAGGCTTTTAACACATTTTCCCACAACATTCTCCTCAAGAAACTGGCTGCTCGTGGCTTTGACTGGTGTACGCTTCGTTGGGTTAGAAACTGGCTGGATAGCCGGGCCCAAAGAGTCGTGGTAAATGGAGCCAAGTCCAGTTGGAGGCCGGTCACTAGTGGCGTCCCCCAGGGCTCGGTGCTGGGGCCGGTCCTCTTTAATATCTTCATCAATGATCTGGACGAGGGCATTGAGTGCACCCTCAGTAAGTTTGCAGATGACACCAAGTTAGGTGTGTGTGTCGATCTGCTCGAGGGTAGGAAGGCTCTGCAGGAGGATCTGGATAGGCTGCACCGATGGGCTGAGGTCAACTGCATGAAGTTCAACAAGGCCACGTGCCGGGTCCTGCACCTGGGGGGCAACAACCTGAAGCTGAGCTACAGGCTGGGAGAGGAGTGGTTGGAGAGCTGCCTGGCAGAGAAATACCTGGGATTATTGGTTGATAGCTGGCTGACTATGAGCCAGCAGTGTGCTCAGGTGGCCAAGAAGGCCAACGGCATCCTGGCTTGTATCAGAAACAGTGTGGCCAGCAGGGCTAGGGAGGTGATCGTCCCCCTGTACTCGGCTCTGGTGAGGCCGCACCTCGAGTACTGTGTTCAGTTTTGGGCCCCTCGCTACAAGAAGGACATCGAGGTGCTTGAGCGGGTCCAGAGAAGGGCAACGAAGCTGGTGAGGGGCCTGGAGAACAAGTCCTACGAGGAGCGGCTGAGGGAGCTGGGCTTGTTCAGCCTGGAAAAGAGGAGGCTCAGGGGCGAAAATATCGCTCCTACAGGCACCTTAAAGGAGGCTGTAGCGAGGTGGGGGTTCACACACAGACAACACAGATCACACAGAATTTCTAGGTTGGAAGAGACCTCAAGATCATCGAGTCCAACCTCTAACCTAACACTAACAGTCCCCACTAAACCATATCCCTAAGCTCTACATCTAAACGTCTTTTGAAGACTTCCAGTGATGGTGACTCCACCACCTCCCTGGGCAGCCTGTTCCACTGCCTCACAACCCTTTTAGTAAAGAAGCTCTTCCTAACATCTAACCTAAACCTCCCCTGGCGCAATGTTAGCCCATTCCCCCTCATCCTGTCACCAGGCACGTGGGAGAACAGGCCAACAAGCCCAGCTCCTTCAGACGCTCCTCGTAGGACTTGTTCTCCAGGCCCCTCACCAGCTTCGTCACCCTTCTCTGGACCCGCTCAAGCACCTCGATGTCCTTCTTGTAGCGAGGGGCCCAAAACTGAACACAGTACTCGAGGTGTGGCCTCACCAGAGCCGAGTACAGGGGGACGATCACCTCCCTAGCCCTGCTGGCCACACTGCTTCTGATACAAGCCAGGATGCCGTTGGCCTTCTTGGCCACCTGAGCACACTGCTGGCTCATATTCAGCCAACTGTCCACCAGCACTCCCAGGTCCTTCTCTGCCAGGCAGCTCTCCAACCACTCATCTCCCAGCCTGTAGCTCTGCTTGTGGTTATTGCGCCCCAGGTGCAGCACCCGGCACTTGGCCTTGTTGAACTTCATGCAGTTGACCTCAGCCCATCGGTGCAGCCTATCCAGATCCTCCTGCAGAGCCTTCCTACCCTCGAGCAGATCGACACACGCACCTAACTTGGTGTCATCTGCAAACTTACTGAGGGTGCACTCAATGCCCTCGTCCAGATCATTGATAAAGATATTAAAGAGGACCGGCCCCAGCACCGAGCCCTGGGGGACGCCACTAGTGACTGGCCTCCAACTGGACTTGACTCCATTCACCACAACTCTTTGGGCCCGGCTATCCAGCCAGTTTCTAACCCAACGAAACGTGCGCCAGTCCAAGCCAAGACCAGCCAGTTTCTTGAGGAGAATGCTGTGGGAGACGGTGTCAAAAGCCTTACTGAAGTCAAGGCAGACCACATCCACAGCCTTTCCCTCGTCCACCCAGCGCGTCACTTTGTCATAGAAGGAGATCAGGTTCATCAAGCAGGACCTGCCTTCTGTAAACCCATGCTGACTGGGCCTGATCGCCTGCTTGCCCTTCAAGTGCCACGTGATGACTCCCAAGAGGATCTGCTCCATGAGCTTCCCTGGTATTGAGGTCAAACTAACAGGCCTGTAGTTCCCCGGGTCTGCCCTCCGGCCCTTCTTGTACATGGGCATCACATTCGCTAGCCGCCAGTCAGCTGGGACCTCCCCCAATACCCAGGACTGCTGATAAATGATGGATAGGGGCTTGGCCAGCTCCTCTGCCAGTTCTCTCAGTACCCTTGGGTGGATCCCATCCAGCCCCATCGATTTGTGCACATCCAAGCGCCGTAGCAGGTCACCAACCAGTTCTTCGTGGATGGTGAGGGCCACATCCTGCTCCCCATCCCCTTCCACCAGCTCAGGGTACTGGGTATCCAGAGAACAACCGGTATTGCCGCTAAAGACTGAGGCAAAGAAGGCATTGAGCACCTCCGCCTTTTCCTCATCTCTTGTAGCTAAGTTTCCCCCTGCATCCAGTAAAGGATGGAGATTCTCCTTTGTCCTCCTTTTTGTGTTGATGTATTTATAAAAGCGTTTTTTGTTATCTTTAACGGCAGTAGCCAGATTGAGCTCCAGATGAGCTTTGGCCTTTCTAATTTTGTCCCTGCACAGCCTCGCTACATCCTTATAGTCCTCCCTAGTGGCCTGCCCACTTTTCCAAAGATTATAAACCCTCTTTTTTCTCCTAAGCTCAAGCCACAGTTCTCTGTTCAGCCAGGCTGGTCTTCTTCCCCGCTGGCTCATCTTTGGGCACATGGGAACAGACCGCTCCTGCGCCATTAGGATTTGCCTCTTGAAGAGCACCCAGCCTTCCTGAACCCCTCTGCCCTTCAGAACCGCCTCCCAAGGGATTCCACCAACCAGTGTCCTGAGCAGCCCAAAGTCAGCCCTCCGAAAGTCCAATACAGTGGTTTTACTGGTTCCCTTCCTGGCCTCGCCAAGAATAGTGAACTCCACCATTTCGTGGTCACTCTGCCCAAGACAGCTCCCGACAATCACATCCTCCACCAGTCCTTCTCTGTTTGTGAAGAGAAGGTCTAGCGGGGCACCACCCCTGGTAGGCTCACTAATCAGCTGCATCAGGAAGCTATCTTCCACTTTCTCCAGAAGCCTCCTAGACTGCTTTCTCTGGGCTGTGTTGTGCTTCCAGGATATGTCAGGGAAGTTGAAGTCCCCCATTAGTACAAGCGCTGAAGATTTCGCAACTTCTGTCAGCTGCCTGTAGAACTCCTCATCCGTCTCCTCATCCTGGTTCGGCGGTCTATAGCAGACCCCGACCAGGACACTAGCCTTGTTGTCCCTGCCGATCCTAACCCAAAGGGACTCGATCTTGTCATTCCTAGCCTCGAGTTCTACAACATCGAAAGATTCTCTAATATAGAGAGCCACACCGCCACCCCTTCTGTGCTGCCTGTCCCTTCTGAAGAGCCTATAGCCAGGCATAGCAGCA